TTGCCTGTTTGAGTTGGTTTGTAAGCCATTGGGCTCTCTGAAGCTGAGACACACACAGTTCTGGTGGAAGAGCCTGTTCTTGGCTGGACAGGGTCAGCCTGCATGCAATCCCACTGCTCCCAGACTGTGCCTGGGGGAGCCCCTTCCCATGCGGGTGCTGGGCCCCACAGACAGCTCAGGAGCAGCTGGCACACAAACAGGCCCTGGTCTGGAAGCGCTGGTGTGGCCTGTACTGCTAACTGTCTGCAGGCCCTGCCAGGTTCCTGGCCCCACGCTATGCAGTTAGGAGTCCAACCAGATACTGAGGCTGGGGGAAGTGGTGTCATAGGGCTGCTGCCCCCCATCAGGTACCCAAGGGGCCCTACTTCCCACCTTTTCAAGCAGAGCTTGAAGGGCTCACTTTGGCCACTGAAGCATAAGCAGCAGGGAGGTGTCACCTCCATGTGTAAGCCCTTCAGGGCCACCGCACTACATGCCACAGTGTCTGGGGACATCTTAGACGAAGGCCAGGGGTTTCTGTATGAGGTAGAAAATGGGTGCTGTAGGCTTTGTGGCTCTTATGATCTCTGTCACAGCTACTACATGGCTGCCTGTGCGGGCTCTGCCAGGCTCGGCCCACGGCTGCCTGCGGGTGTCCTGGGAGAGTCACTGTGCAGCAGAGCCCACGCTGCCCTGCTGGGCACACAGTGTGGGTGGGAGGCAGGCCTCCAGGGGCGGGGCTGTGGCACAGCTGGGCACTCAGGACCCACACGGCTGCCCCACCGCTGAGGGCACCCCCAGTGTCTCAGGCAGCCTGGCGATGACAACTTGAGTCACTTGCTGGTTTCTTCTTTGGCTTATGAAGGAACTGTTCTAAATGTAAGTAATCCTTTCCTGATTTGATCCAATGACCTTTGTAAGATGGAGCGGGTCTGAACAGCCTCTTTCCCTCTCCTCTCCTCCGATGGCCTTACCCCCACAACAGGAGGTGACATGAGGGCTGCTCCATTATTCAGGAGGGACCAAACTGACCCCCTGACCTCTCCACTTGGCAGGAGAAATAATTCATAAGGCTGCAAATGTGAGCAGGACAGGCCATCTGAGCACAGCTGCTATGGAAAATGTCCTGCAGGCACAGGTACAATGGAGGAGTTAATCTGATGGGTGGGAAGGTGATCTGGAGCCACTGAAGCTACAGAGAGGAAGTGAACATTTCTGATGGCCCCAGAAGGTGAGCAGGAATTTTCCATATAGGGGTGAGTCTGTGTGTTGTGTGGTGGGCAAGATGAGAAAGGAACCAGTGAGCAGGAAGAGGGACTGTCTAGGTCAACTACCAGTGTCGGGGAGCCGTGAGCCAGAGCTTAAGGTGGGCTTAGGCAGAGGTTCTGTGCAGGGTGTGCAGGAGTGGCCGTGACTTGTGGGGAGGGTGAGTAGACAATCTGGGGCTGAGTTTGAAGGGCTTCACCACTCAAGCTGGGAGACTGGAGTTTATCCTAAGGCAATGGGGAAGCTCCAGGAGCACTCATGGGAAGGTCACACTTACTACACATGGATTCAAGAGGGAACCCAGAAGCAGAGAGTGAGGAATCAGTGGCGCATCCTGGTGATGGCTGAGAGGGGCCTGACCCAGGGGGGAACAGGTGCCAGGAGAGGAGGGGCCAGGGTGGGGGGATGGCAGAGTGTGCCTGATAGCTACCTGCTAATCCACACAACCAGCTCCCTTAGGCTAAGCTGGGCCGGATGGCCACTTCTGGCAAATGAATCAAGGGCAGCGCTGATGAGCACTGTTTCTGGGATGAGGCGGCTAAATGCCAAGTGCCTTCTCTGCCCCTCTGTCCTGTGGAGGCACCCTGCTGTCGCTATGCATCGCTGCAGGAGGGAGCAGGCCATGCACCCCACCACTGCCAGAGCAGTGGTTCAGGAGAGCAACTGGCCTGCTGCAGACACACACAATAAGCATCCACCAGGTTAGACCCCCTGGGTGACCTTCCTCATCCTGGCCAGCTCAGTGGAGAGGAGCTTAGAATTTGAGCTGAGACCTGATGGTTGGCAGAGGTGACAGGGAGAGAGGCGCTTGGAAGCGTAGGGTCTTGGCTTCGGGAATCTGGGCAGATGGGAGAAGGAGCGGAGCAGGCGTGAGAAGGGACAGGAGCCAGTCTCTTCTGGCATAACTGAACTGGAGGTCCCTCCAGGTGAAGCAACGGGCATTAGGAAAAAAGCATCTACAGTTTAGGAAAGGTCTTGGAGGGCAGAGTCTAGACAGTTTGGCATTTAGCTTCTGGTTGGGTGAGACAGTATGGGAGAGTGTACATAGGATGCAGAGGTCAGGGAGCACTGTGTGAGGGTTAGAGAAAGGGGTCCAGTGGAGGAGCAAGGGAGCGCTCAGAGCCACGAAAGAAGGGCCCGGAAGCAAAGGGGCAGATGCGTGGGGAGGGGTGTGTCCACAGTGTCCAGCGTGTGCGTGGTGGAGAGGACAGGCCGGGAGGCTTCCATGGGGGTCCCCACCCTTCCCCTTCTCTGCCCCAGCCCCCAGCTGCCTGCCTTGTGCCCCCCAGGAGAGCCAGCAGCCTCTGGCAGGGCAGCCGCTCACCCAGGCCCACTGCACCTTCCCTGTGCCCTGGCTCTCCAGAACAAACCCTGGGGCATTCCTCCCTCAAGGCAGCTCCGCTTAATAGAGAGGAGACTGAGGCTCGGGAAGAGGCTGGCTGGCTTTCCCAGGGTCAGGCGGTGCCACCGGCTTGGCAGCTCCAGTGGGAACTAAGGGCTCAGAGAGGCTCTGCAGCCCCCCAGGAGGACACAGCCAGTGAGCAGGGCACCCGGGCTCCATCCAGGAGACTCCACCCACCCTCCTGGCACCAGGTCCCAGACGGAGAGAGAAAGAGAAGGGGAGAGGTTGGCCCACCTGGACGGAGCACTGGCCACTCTGCAGGGCCCAGTGGCCTCGCCTCTTCCTCCTTTGCCCCTATGGTGTGGGGTCAGCCTGTGCACTTGGCAGCGGAAGCTGAAGGGTGAGTGACCTGCCCGGCTAGATTGTGTCCACACCACCCCAAGGGGGCCAGGAGGGCAGCTCCCAGACGTTGCACCCTGTGGGCTTCAGTTTCCTCACATGCAAACAGAAATGCCCACTGGTGGTGAGATGTGGCAAGAGCCCACTTGGGCAAAGGTGAGGTCGGTGAAGGAGGGAGCAGGCCAGACAGGTTCCTGGATGGTGACCTGGAGGCCTGCTGCCCACTGTCATGCACCAGCCTCAGGGTCCTCCAGGAGGTAGGCTAGGACCCTGAGCTCACTGCTACGGTATTTTCAAGCTGTTTCCATGGAAACCTTAGCCCCCCCACCCCTTTCCTTTCCACAAAGGAGAGTGAGAAGAATGCTAATGCTGATGCGCCCTGACTCCTTGGCTGAGCGGCATCCCGCTGTGTGCAGGCCTACACTGATGCTCTGTGTGCCATGAGTGTGTGTGTTTGCACTGGACTCGCCCTCCAAGGTTTAGAATCTAATCACCTGAAGAGCAGCACGATCACCTCCTGTTGGGTGGTCCTTTCTGACCTGTGGTCACCTTCACACAAGCGTGTGTCACTGTCAGAGCCTGTCTCACGGATGCACTCAGCTGGAGCGACGCTCACCAGCCTGGGAGCTCGCTGCCTTCCCTCACCTCCAGCGGGTGCTAATCCAGGGCAGAGGTCTGTTCTAGGAACTTTCTACAGAGACGCTGTTTCTGCAGAGTAGTGGTCAATGAGAGGCCGGTGACTCCTTGACAACAGCCACCCTCGCTCTCCAGAGGAAAACTGCAGCGGGTGGTGACTCACCCTAAACTCATGGCTGCTCAGGGCCACTCCTGACTTCTCCCAGTAGTTGAATTAAATTGGGATGGGAAACTGGAGGTGGAAACTGCTTTACATGACGCCTCACCTTTTCAATGACCCTCACTGGAGTCCAGAGCCTGGTCATGACTTTCACTCAGAATGGGACTGCTGGAAATGCATCCCAGGTTCTAGTAACCCCTAACAACAAGCTGACTCAGCACTCAAATCCTTGTGGAACAAAGTGAGGCACACATTTAAAGACCTGACCCCTTCTTTCCCTGGGGGCTGTCTACAATGCACCTGTCTGCAGAGCTGGGGAACTTTCCCTGGGCTCACGTTGACTCAGAAGTCATGGAATAGGAGGTCAGAGCACAGGGAATGGTGAGGGAGAGGGGAGGGAACCCCAGACCCCTACCCATTTGGGCTGGTCTGCTTTGTGGAGCAGTGGGAAGGTGACAGAGGGCAGAGCTCTGCCAGCATCCATGAGCCCTGCCTGCCCCCCCATGTCAGGGCCCCCGGGAACACTGAGGGAGGCTGGGCCTTGTACTTACTACCCACGAGTTGTAGCCTGTGGGGCAAGCACTGGCCTGGTGGCTCCCGGGACGCTTTTGGCTGGTTGATTGGAAAAATAGTCCCTCCCCTCTCCTCTACCTAAGTAGTGGAGTGGAACCTGTGCTGTGCCTGGAAACAGAAGATATCTGTAAAAATAATAATAAAAGTACTAGGCATACTGAGAGCTTATAACCCCCCAACCCCTCAGTTTCTAGGGATTAATAAAAGTCCTGAGCTCTGGCCCTTTCTTTTCAGGAAAGGAAGGGCATTAGCCAGTGTCACAGAGATGCTACAAGCGCAGCTCTAGGCCAAGGCCCCCCCCCCCAATCAGATGGGCTGCGTGCAGACTGACGGGAAGGCTTCTTAAGGGCTGAGCCGGTGCCATCCAAAGGCTGCAGCACGGACTACTGAGAGCTCTCACACCACCTAGATGGCCTTCTGAATGCTGACAGTGCCAGTCCGGTACTCGCTCCAGCCATGACAGGAGACACTTCCTGCTAAGGCTTAGGGCTCCCTGAGGCCAAGCAGCGAGCAGATAGACACAGCTGACCCCAAAGGACACAGCCATCAAGGCCTCCTTCACGCTAGTTCAGGGGACAGGATGCTGAGGGTGGAACCCCCAGGCCCCAGAATGGACACCCTCTGACCAGGCCCTCAAGACATTACCTGGGCAGGAGCACTGCAGGACAGGTGGGCCAGGTCCCCAATTCTGGCCGCGGCTCGAGGGTCGCTGGAGCTGATCAGCACTGGGGCACTAATCTCCATGGAGTGTCTGTGGCTGGTGGCCTGTGAGGATTTGTGCGTCACACTGAGTGCGGTGAAGGAGTGGCGTTTCTTGGCATTCTTCTTGCCGTCCACACGCCGCTGAAAGGCACTGACAGCCCCTGAGCTGCTCAGAGTGGGACCTGGGGCCACGCTGGCCACTGCACCAGGGTCAGGAGGTGAGGAGGTGTGGCAGCCAGACCCGGTGGCTGGGCACGGCTTGTCCATCTCAATAAGCTGCTTGGCAGAGTCGTTGAGCTGAGAGAGAAAGGGGAGGGGAGGCTGCATTAAATGGTGGTCATGCTCCGCCCGTTCTGTGTGGCCCACAGCCCAAGCTCACAGGGAAGACGCAGTGTTCACATGGCCACACCTTTCTGACAGCATCACTGCCTGGAGTGCTGTCTACAGACCTTACTGAAAGGTTTCTTGGTCTGCCTGCCCCAGTGCAGCCCCATCTTTTCCTGGCTGCCATGTCTTGGTGGGAGGGCAGCCCTGCAGGAAGGGAGGGGATGGTACAGAAGCCCCGCCATGCCCCCACATTCAGCACAACCACAGGAGACTGGCCTGGCCAGCATGGTTCTGGTCACTCCTGTGAACTCAAGGCCTGTGACCAGAACACACTCTGGAGCAGCTGGGGACTGCAGGTAAGGGAGGCGAGCTGGGGACAGGGAGCATGGGCATCTCTGAGAGCCTCCGTCCTCAGCCGACCTGACCCCCTCCAGGGGGCCTCAGCACTATCATCCCCAGCGATTCCCAAGGACAAGGACTCAGGCACCATGCCTTCCCTTTTGTCTCCACCTGGTCCACAAAACAGCAGGTGCTTTCCAGGGAAGATTGTGCCTGTAGCAGAGGTTTGATGCCGGGGACCCTCATCAGGGAGGGCAGGTGGACATGAGTCTGTGAGCAGTTGGTCCTGTGGCATCAGCTCTCCAGGAGGCCCTGCTCTCAGGGCTGTGCTGGGTGGACCCAGAGGCTGGTGGGGCCATGGGAGGAACAGGTGCCTCCAGGGCCTTGGGTTACAGGAAAGGTCAGCTCAGTGTCTGACAGCCCTTGTGTCCCCTGACTCCTGCACCTCAAGCCAGGTTTTCATCTGAGGTGGATGAGGAGGCCCTGCCTTCCGAGGCTGCTCTCGGCTCTTGCGTCCATGCTAATGGGGCACTGGTGGTTACTGATGGCATGAAGCAGAGGGAAATGGTTACTGTGGTTGGTGTGGCCAGGAGGGAAGGGGATGTGAGAACCAGCTTGGGATCCTCTCCAATGAGGCGCGGTAGGTAAATGCCACTGTGCTAGGGAAATGCCTGCAGAATCCATCCTTCTTCCTCACCTCTTCAGGGGCAGCAGGAATTAGGTCAATGACAGTTAGTCCTGCAGTGGACTGGCCTCAGGAAGCACAGGGCTGAACTTGGGAGAACTCCATAGAAAACAGAAATAGCTGTGGGGTCCTGGGTCCTGGGGGCTGTGGGCCTCGGGGGGTCATGGGCTCATAGAGCCTGGGGGTCACAGGCCCTGGGGCTGTCACAGGCTCTGCGGGTCATGGACCCTGGGGGGTCATAGGCTCTGCAGGTCATAGGGCCTGGGGCTTGTGGGCCCTGGGGGTCGTGGGCTGAAATGGGCCTGGCATGCAGTGTCAGCCAGCGCAACTTGGCTGCTGGTGTTGTGAAGCAGGGTCACAGTGACACAGCAGAGAGCACAGGTGCCCCAGCCCAGCTTCCTGACAGTCAGCATGCAGCCGGACCCTGACAGGCTGATAGCCAGCCCAGCAAGGCCCCTGCTGGCTGTCCAAGGCTGTCTCCTCCTCTGTCTCACCTTTCTTCTCTCCCCCAATTTCTAATTCTTCAGAACACCCTGGAGACAGTGCTGCCCAGCTCAGCTCTGCTTTCAAGGGGCAGGTGACAGAGAAGCCTACGGGTTTCTAGGACCCCAGGCACACCTCCCTGGCCTGATATGGGCAGATGGAACAGCCAGGAGCTGGCCATGTTCTTGCAGGTGGGCAGGGACGTCCCCAGTCCCTCCATTTCTCCTCAGTGGGCTCAACGGTGGAAGGGTCTCTCTACTCTGAAGGAACACCTGCTCTCCTATGACTTGCTTCAAGGGTCTCAGCCATGTTGTCCACATGAAGAACAAGGTAAGAGCAGCACGCCCTTTCTGGGCCCTGACGGAGAGGAGCCTCCAGGTGCTCGGGGGGTGAGGAGCAGGTGGAGTGGGCAGGATGCTTTCATGGATAAGCCACCCCAGGGCAGGGCGATGCTGCCCCACAGGACACCTGGCTGCGGTGCGCGGGTTTGTTGCCTTGCCGCCATGACAGTAAGACTGGAAGAGGAAAAAGGAGGAGAAAGGCAGATGCGCCGGCTCAGGCAGGCTGGGGGCTGAGCAGGCCCTGCTGCCCCTGCTCTGCAAGGCTGTTCTGCCACAGTGTCGGGGAGAGGGCTTCACGTGACACTCCTGCACGGGGGGACACAGGAGGTCCCCACCACAGACAGAAGTTCTGGGGTCAGCAGGGCTGAGCTGACCAATGAGCCATAAGCCAGAGATCCAGGGTTTCTGTAAGTCCAGGCAGGGCTAAGGAAAGTGCCCCCTTCCCCAAGCCCCATAGCAGTGCCATGGGGACAGAGGTGGCCCCAGAGTCAGTCCCCTGACTAGGGCCTGGCACGGGACTGGCTTGGTGAGGTCTTCCAGGGAGGGACTATGGCATGTAGTGTCCAGGGAGGGTCCACCAGGGGCAGGGGTGAGGGACAGTGAAAGGCTCATGGCTGCACTGAAGTCTACTCTTCATCTGTCCACTTTGGGACAGGCTTTGTTGCCACAGAAGATGCTCAGTGCCCAGAGGAATCTCCTGGAGTGCAAACGGCACCCGGCGTGCTCTCCCACCTCACATGCAGCAGGGCACAGCTTCTGGGCACCACGGACACTTTAGAACATGACTGAACACAGCAGGGTGAATGGACTGCAGATGGAGAATACTCAGGCTGCTGGCAGAAGCCCTACCCAAGAGGAAGAACACAGGGCCCTTCCAGGGCATGAACACACCTGAAAACCAGGTGGGGCAGAGGGTCAAAGGGAAGAAAAGACCACGGAGTGTGCAGAGTGTAGCCTGAGGGTAAGGCCCCAGGTGCCTGGCTAGAGGAGAGTCCACAGTGGCCACTGGGGTAGCTGGAAGCCGTCATGGGTCTGGAAGGATGCATGGGGTTAATCTGGCAGCCAGGGTGGTGGGCCACTGAGGGGTCCTACCAAGGCAGGAGGTGCTTCAGTCAGGTAAAGTTGACCTGGCCCCAGCTGTGGGCCATGAACAAGCCCTTGCCTGGGCCTGGAACACAGGCTGGAGCTGGGCAGGGCTGTGCGAGGATGGGCCCCATCCCCCAACGTAGTGGAGTCTGATGTTAGGCCTGCTTTGGAAATCCCCCCAGCCCTGTGACAGTGGAGGAAACACCAAATTCCCACTAAGCACACACTACAAGGGTGAGCAGCTGGCAGCATCCTGATGAGTTAAAAAGTCTACTGAAGGAGCCAAGATGGTGGCGTGAGTAGAGCAGCAGAAATCTCCTCCCAAAACCATATATTTTTGAAATACAACCAATACAACTATTCCTAAAAGAGAGACCAGAAGACACAGGACAACAGCCAGGCTACATCTACATCTGCGAGAACCCAGCACCTCACGAATGGGGTAAGATACAAGTTGAGGCCTGGGGGGAACCGAGCACCACCCCTACCTGGCAAGAGGAGAGGAGTCAGAGCGGGGAGGGAGAGGGAGCCAGGACTGCTAAACACCCAGCCCTAGCCATCTGCGCTGGGAGCGCAGACACAGTGCATGTGTGGGGTGCTGGAAACTAGGGAAACAGGACAGTAAGACCTGTGAGCGAGTCCCTGCAGCCGGCACACCTGGGACAAAGAAAAGTGAGTGCTTTTTGAAAGTCTTAAAGGGACAGGGAACCCATAGCTGGATGGAAGCATCCCGGCACACTCAGCCTAGCAGCTGGGAATCCCAGGGAACTCCGGGCGCCCTAAACCCCTAGGTGCCAGCGAAGCACTGAGGCCCCTCACAGTGATAAACAGCCTCCCACCTGTTCCCCCTCTGGCGTGGCTCCGCCATAGCAGAGCAGCAGCTAGAGGCAGGCCACACCCACAGCAACCGCAGAGCTTACTCCACAGCAGCTGGGCAAGAATCAGAGACCCTGTCTGCGTGCAGCTGCCCAGCACAAGATGCTAGGGGTCACTGTTCTCCAAGGAGAGGAAAGCCACAAACCAGCAAGAAGGGATGTTCTTCCAGTTGACACACATGCCACCTCCCCACAACTACCTCTATCGCCATGAAAAGGCAGAAGAATTTGATCCAGACCAAAATCACAGAGATAACCCCTGAAAAGGAGCTTGGAGAGATAGACCTAACCAATCTCCCTGAAAAAGAATTTAAAATAAAGGGCATAACCATGCTAATGGAGCTGCAGAGAAAAATGCAAGAGCTAATGGACAAAGTTGGGAGGGAGACTACAGAAACAAAACAATCTCTGGAAGGATTAAAAGCAGAATGGGCGAGATGCAAGAGGCCATTAATGGAATAGAAACCAGAGAAAAGGAATGCAGAGAAGCTGAGGCAGAGAGAGATAAAAGGATTTCCAGGAATGAAACAATATTAAGAGAACTGTGTGACCAAATCAAATGGA